ACCGCCTGGAGAGCCTTATTTTGTGATAAGCCGCGGAGGGACGCGGGTGGGAAGCAGGCAGAACGCACGAGCGTGGTCCGGTTTTCTCCCCGCTCTCTGCCTTCTGCTGCCTGAGGAGCGCAGCGCCCCTCTGCCAGGCGGAACCGGAGTCTGAGCCGTAACCGCTCTTCTGCAAGTTGTGCACATCAGGTGTTTGGTCACAGTGACAAAAGCCAATGAACACAAGTTCCGGACTAGAAACAACCCACCCTGTGTCCCCACTGGCAGAAGACAGGGCCAGACCGGGGTATTCGACCAGGGAACCCCCACAGCCCAAAGGAAACCAGCTGCTCACCAACCCTGGCGGGGCTGATGCCAGACACAAAAGGGCGTGCAGGCTGTGAGATTCCACTTAGGCCAGGTTCGGGAACAGACAGCTGTCCCCGGAGCAGGGGTACGGACTGGAAAGAGGCAGGAGAGCCCTGGGGCGCAGGAAATGTCCTGTATTTTTTTCTGGGTGGAGGCTTCCATATGGGCACACATACAAAAACTCATACTCAAGTCCAGGTTTGTGTGCCTTAGTTACTGTATGTGAAGTTATGCCCCAAAAGCAAAATTATTTCAAGTTTAGGCCGAGTGTGGTGGCCCCAGCCGCACTCAGGAGGCTGAGGCAGGAGGATCACTGTGAGTTCGAGGTCAGCCTGGGCTACACAGTGAGTTCAAGGCCACTATGAACTATGTGGTGAGACCCTGTCTAAAAACAACAGCAGGAAAAATAAACCATTCACAGTTTAGACCCATTGCTTCTGCTCCCCCTCTGACCACGGAAGAGTCTTGTGTCTGCTCGGCGTGACCTTCATCCAATACTGGTGGCTGCAGCCACCGCAGGGAGCAGGAACTTCTCCAGCTACAAAGAAACTGGTCTTTCTCTGTCACCATGTGCGTGGGGCAGAGTTGGAACCAGGACTTTTTCTTTCTTTCTTTCCTTTTTTTTTTTTTTGGTACCAGGGAATGAACTCCGGACCTTGCGCTTTCAAGGTAGGCGGTAGAACCACGGAGCTAAATCCCCAGCCCCAGGACTTATTTCTCTGGGATGCATCCATCTTGTTTCAAATGTGGTGGAGACTACTGATATTTTAACAAAACAAAAATACAACAGACCATCCTTGGCTTAGTCCAGTTAGCTAAGGCAAGGCAGAAAGAGCTGAGGAGTTCAGACTGTACCAAGAACACGAGAAACTTCAGAACATGCTTACCTAGAGAGAGTAAGACTCTAGAATGAATTATATTAAAATGGCTTTCTGGGTAACTAGGAGAGTTTTTACTTCTTCCTTGCACTTAAAAAAAAAATCCCCAACTAGACAGCAAAAAAGAAATCATGTCATCTTTCCTGATTGGCCTGGATACAATCTCTTCCGGGGGTCTGGGAATGTGGGGGGCCTTCTTGGGGGTCCCGTGCATGCTGCACCCCCACCCAGCAAGAAGCATCAACGCCACGACCTCAACACAGCCTTGGGGTTCCAAGAAGGGGGATGATGCAAAGCAGAAAGAGACGAGGGGTACAGACAGAGCTTGCAGGTGGCACTGAAGCCGGCTGCTTGTAGCCAGCCTTCCTGGGACCATCAAGGTGCTCAGAGTGTTCTCAGAAGTAACGGGACGCACTCCGGAAGTTTGGGGAGAACTGACATTCTCTACTCCATGTTGCCTCTGGGCACGGGCCCTGCTAAGAATATTAAATCTGTAGAATTTAAAAAGTGTTTCTCTGAGCCCACCTCAATCACCCTTGAAGGGAAAGGACAGGGGCACCCGAGGGCCACGGCCGAGTCAGCTCCCTGGCGGCCCGGGCCCCTTCCCCACCACACAGTGGGGTACGGAGTTCTGCCCCATCTTCTGAGAAACTTCCCTTGCCCTCCAGAGCCCCCCTTCCCTCCTCCAGCTCCAGCAGGCACCTCGGAGTCCACACCCAGAGCAGGAGGCTGGGCCCCGACACCGTCCCCTCTCCCTAGGCTCTTGTGGGCCTTCCTGCTCCCCGGCCATTCTCCGTTCTGCTGCCTGGTGGGTCCCGCTAACCCCACATTCCTGCCGTTGGCTCCTACATTTCTCTTAAGCCCAGGCCCAACTCCTACTCTTTCTCAGATTTCCCATAGGCTACACAAACTTATCCAAAATTAAACTCCACCTCCTCCCCGACACACACACACACACACACACACACACACACACACACACACACATTTTTACACACACACACACACACACACACACACACACACACACACTTGTCCCTCCACAACCCTGCCTGTTAATTCCGGGGCCTAATTAGCTGCCAAGCTCCAGCCAAGTCTCTTCCTGTTCAAATCCTCCAATGGATACGGCCACCCACCGTGATCCAGGGACCTGCCCTAGCTCCAGGGTCCTTTATGGCGTCTGTGGTAACTCCGGGTCACACAACTGGTGACGAGGCGTTTGTGCCAGACACCTGGCCGCATCACCACCAGCTTTCTGTTAAACGGGTCCGGTCATTCCGAGTTGGAATTAGGCACACACTTCCCTCAGCCGGGACTTTGCTTCCACAGCGTGATCCAGCTCGTCTCCTTCAGCTGTGCCAGTAAAAGCCCACCATCTGGCCGTTTCCTCTTTCCTTTGCTTCCAAAATAGTCTACAGTGATCTTGTAATTTCACTCTAAATATTTTGTGAATATTTTCATGATTTGTCTTTGTAACTCAAAATACAATTCCTAAGTCAGGATGCCCTATTTTTCAAGGGTTGAATTAATTGCTTCTTTCCTGAGACCAAACATGTCACTCTCTCAAACCCCGGCGCACATCTGGGACCCTCACATGGGCCTCATTCATTAGTGGGGTCCGCAAGGTGTCCTAAAGTCAAGCTGAGGGTCTGAGACAGGATGTGGATCTCTGCACCCCCAATGTGTAATACAGGGATCACGCCACTGGGGTACCTCGCCAGTGTCACCCCAAACCCACAACTTCACACTAGCGACCTCGACACCAAGAATGTCAGACCCAGAGAAAAGCACAGGAACCCGGTAAACCAGTGAGGAGGATCAATGTGAAAGCTGCTAGGCCGGCAGCCGAGCACTGCCTCTGGGAGCTTCCCGTTTCTGCTCTTCCGGAAGAGCAGGAGCCACAGGCACAGCAGCGGGCACAGCACAGCACAGGTCATGGCCGCCTCGGCTGGGTCCTTGTCCCCGCATTCTGCCACCATTCCTCAGCCGGGCAGCCTTGGTCAAGCCTTCTAACCCCGCTGGATGGCTTCCTTGTTCTGTCCCATGAAACTCAGGCAGGTTCAAGGTTGCCTTCCGGCGCTGGGATTGTGTCCTTGTCTGTCCCAAATGTCTGACTGCAGAAAAGGAACAGCACCAATGGCAATGGAGGCCCGAGCGTCCCGCGTCCCACATTTGGTGAGCTCAGCAGAGGTGCCGCGTCTCCCATTGAAGGCAGGGAACACGGTACAGGGAAGCCAAGGCGATCAGGGGGCTGGCCCTTCCAGAGGCAGCACTGTTCGGGAGGGAGGGAGGGAAGTCGGACAGACCAGAGGCAGAGGCCGGACGACTCCACCTGACAGCCCCGGCCTGCAGGAGGGGAGGGGAGCAGGAGTCAGGAGGCCCCAGAGACCACACCAAACACAGCACAGCATCTGCTGCCCATTAGAACATTTATTTCTCAGAGAGAAAATAAGTTTCCGACAGTCATATTATAGTAGGTAAAATTAACTTCTGTATTCTTTACAGGCATAGATTTTTGTTTATTATCTCTCTTATACCATCTGTTATAAACAATTCTAGAAAGCAAATAAAGTCACTTTCTACAATAAATAGAGCATCATGTGCTTCACAGCAGACGCGACAGAGACACAGAGGCCCCGTGCCACAGCAGGATCTGAGCCGTTTCCCGTTCTAAAAGAGCATTTTAAAAAATGAGACTCAGAAAGACTGAAAGATTCCAAGAGACTGAAAAATAGAGACTAAGAAGAGAAAGTGTAAGGGAAGAAAGAGCTAGATATACATAGAAAGAGGGAGAGGGAGAAAGCCCCGGGATCTTACGACACAGGTTTAGACAAAGCTCACGGAGTCCACAGCTGACCAACTACCTGGGGAGAGGGGCAGGACGGCGCCTTTAAAGAGCCACACCGTGTGGCCGAGATGGAGGACTCCAGGAATGGAACGTGTAGGCCTGAATAATTTAGAAGAGTATTTTACAATTATATACACCATGTCCTTCCCTAGCCATATGCTGTATTGTTTTTATTATTGTACAAAATCCCTAATCCCATTCTGCGTGTTCGAGCTGTTGGTTCCCTTCTGAACTCTGGCTCCTGTCCCAAATGTGTAAGAAGTTGGTGTGTGGTGGGTTGTAGTTTAAAAAGTTGAGCGTGTAAAAATGGCAGTGATCTCCCCTGTGACTTTGTTTTGTCCAAAACTCCCCTACGAAAAATTCAAAGCAATTAAAAAGAACCCGAGTTCATCAGTGGCCTGCACTGGGCCCTGCGACTTTGGTGCTCAAGAGGTGAAGGAAAGACGTCCAGAGAGCAGACGCGGAGGCCTCTGAAGGCTGCGCGGGTTTGTCAGTCAGCTCCCCATTCACAGTTTTTCCCTCCGTTTCTGAGAAGGTGAAGGTGGGGAAGAGATTCGAGAAAGGAAGGAGATGGGTGTGAAATCGGCGGGCTGCGTCCCTGCTTTGGGAGCAGCAGAGCCCACCTTGCCATGGTGAGAGGGGCTCCAGGCTGCAGCCGCAGCAGCGGAAAGGGCGAGCCCGGCGGGAGGCCCTGCTCTGTCCCAGCCCCTCGCGAGGGCCAGGCGGGGACCTAGCTC